TTCTATGAAGAAGTCACTAAGGTGGAGCTTGGCTGGTGTAGGAAGTCTTACAGGTCCCTACGTACATTTGAGAACCACTATAAACAGCAAAAGAATTGTAATTTAAAAAGTTGATCAATAAGACCAGCCCTGTGCACACCCTGCCAGCATCTTGTGGGAAGACCAGCCAGTGGATACCAAAGGTGACCCTGCATAAACTGGAAACACAAATGTAGGACATGGTCAGATTTTGGCACCGTGGCTCGGAGAAGGAACGAGCTGCCATCAGACGGGAGTGCTACTTACACCCCAGAGTGCCTTTGGGACAGGTCTCACGGGGCCTTCCATAAGCATCTGCTCGGGGCTCTGCAGCTCTGATCTCGGCGCTCCCGCAGGGACTCTCCTCGGACAACTCCCTACTTCGCCTCCCTCCCTCCCGCACTCAGCTGGTCGCATTTCTTGTGTAGCTGGTGGGGTGGCAGAGAGGTTCCTGCTCTTCCAACGCCGTGGGTGAAGCACTGTAAACATTCAAAGCTCCCACAAATATTAACCGAAGGCTCGCTCCGAGCACACGGCAGCTTTCCCACATCCCAGGCTGAGGAACCAGAAACATTTCCCGAAAGCGCGTGCTGTAAAGGCCATCCTCGCTGTTTCTCTGGGCATGGGGTTACGTGCCAAGATGTGCTGCTTCAATCCCAAGCATTCCTTTTTTTGCATCTCCCCCGGCTCAGGTGGAGTACCCAGCCCACCCAAGGGGAACCAGCGATGCAAAGGGACAGTTAAACTCAGCGGGAGGGCCAAGGACAGGCAGCCAAACCCCGGCAGGCTGAAAAGTGCTTTTCAGCATCTCGTGATGTGGGAGCTTGCAGAGCAGCGATAGAGCTTGTCCACATTCCCACCGTGGGCTGGAGCTGGTGTGCATCACCCCAGGGCAAGGGCTTCATTCACATCGGTGCTGGTGCCAGGCTCCACGGCACAGGGTCCCCTTAACCGCAGACAGGTCGCCGGAGACGGCTCCCTTCTGCCGTCGCTGAAGCCAACCGAGGTAATGGCTGCTTAAAATCCTCGAGGAGAGGAACTTACTGCAAGAGTCCTGGTGGAAGAAGGAGCTTTGTTTCTGTGTTGCTTTCGAAGGGTAAGCACCTTTTTCTCTACCTCTCCTACTGCTAGAGCGCAGTTTGTACATCCCATCATTCAGATGCATGACATATTATTTCATAAAGTGTTCTTTATCCATAGCTGTGACAAGCAAATTACACTGAATTAAGCTCATCTACCTTGGTCTCAAGGGACGCTGGCTATTAGACTGTCTCAGAACTGCCATCCTGAAGCACTGTCACCACTCAGCCTCGAGGAAGATGCCGAGACGGCTGCGCTACCCAACACAAAAGGGCTGCTCTACTCAGGGCCGTAATGGAAATAGCATGCAGGGAGCACCACGTTACTCAGCCCTTCCGCAGAAAATAGGCTCACCTTACAATGGCAACAACACTTCGTCCAAATGGCAGGTCTGCGACTTCACCGCTGCCTCCAAGAGATGAGCTGTGTCTTTCCTTTCTGATACACAGTAATCCGTATGAGATCCTGCAGGCTCCATCCCACACCCGTTACCCACTGGGCAGCATTCAGACCGCCTAACCGTGCCCATAAAATCACCAACAGCCGCCACACAGGAAAGGCAGAGATCCCGGCTTGCCTTTTAGCGAAGCCAGGATGGGCTTGGGGGAGGTACAACAGGAGCTGCTCGTTGTTCAAAGGGCAATTTTAGAAATAAATAATAAATGGACACCAGGAAACAGCACAAGTCAGTTCTTCACATAAACCCTTCACTCACACCCGACTCCAACCCTTGTTCTCACAACCTGCCACCTCTGCTGGGGTCTGAGCGGGCCAGAGACATACAGCCAGGCGAAAACGACAGGAACGGCTTCCAAGATCCTTCCTGACAGAGCTTAAGGCCATCGCACCTGACGTGGCTCTAACTCCCGCGTGCTTCGCTCACGCTCCGCGCACGCTTTGCTGTCATCTTCTCTTTTCAGGCGGCAAAGGAGAGTTGAGGTGACACCGGCTCCTACAAAATAACATCCTAACAATCAGTCTCACAGAAACGTGCTGCTCCACGTCGAGGGGAAAGCTTTGTGTGAAGTTGCCACGGATGCAGCAGCTGACGAGGCACTTGGGACTGGGGTCCTCAGCAAAGAAACACGGAGGAACTTGCTCTTTTCTTTCGGGGAGCCCAGCTGGCACAAACGAGACGCCACGGACCACGGTGCTGTTCGAACAGGCAATGGCACAGACCTGCCACCAGCACAAAGCGTCTCCCCTGAGAAAGCAAAGCATGGAAATATAAACCCCATAAAAATTAAGCATTGCACACAGCAAGGAAAAAGGGATTTGGAGACAGGAGTTTGCTCGCTGCCCTCCTGCTCAGACCTGCCGCCCGAAGAGCCCGGCGCCTCCAGGTCCACCACCCCCACCCTGCCCGGCAGCGCCTTCAGGATGAGGGAAAAAGAGGAAAGAAAACCTGAACTAACACTGCCCTGCCCCTCAGCCGGGCATTGCCCGGGCACTGCAGCATCTTCCAATTCATACACACACCCCCGGGAAAGGACAGGACAGAACCGCGCTCCTGCTTCCTCCCACCACTAACGCTGAAACCCTCTTTAAAAGGGATCATTGCAAAAGTTACTTATTTCTTCTTAAAGAAGCTGGGTCCTTCTCAGGTATGATAAATTCGGGGCTGCCGGGAGCCAGGCTCGCTGGGAGTGCCAAGGTGCAAGCGCAGTAGCGTATCTATCCTCGCGATCCAGCCAAGCTTGTAGACCATTTTCAACGTAAGCCTCCTCGACAAAAACAATTTGTTCTTTAATCAGAGCAACAAAGACAGGCTCCCAGACTCCAGCTATTTGAAACAGGCTCACATGGGTCCAGATAATTGTTGGTGAAAAATGAAAAGCTTTGTAGTTTTTGAATCCAGTAACAAAAGCTGAGCTTGGCGAGGAAAGGGGCACGGCTCTCACGTCGGCTGCTGCGTCTCCCTCACGGGAATTTGCAATTCTTCTACTAAATGTTCTCAAAGGTGCTTTCTTCTTCCTCCCCTTTCTGTAACCGTGATGTAAAAAGCCCCTCAGAGGAGAACAGGGACAGAATTTTATTATTTTTTTTTAAAACAGTTCAGGAAAGTAATTTAGAGCCTTGCCCTCAGTATTCCCAAAACCAGTATCAAAAAGATTATTTGATGGAGAAGAGAATTTACAATTACCATGAATGTGACAAGATTAACCTTATCTGCAAGAGATATAAACCCTGTCTTGAAGGTACCAAAGGTTATACCAAGCACTGAAACACTTTGTCTTTCCACAGTTCTAGAGAAAGAAACCTCAAATTCCTCCTCCCAAATGACCAGCTGACTCGGACATCAGAACAAGTCAAATATTAAGATTTGACTTCCCTGTAGGATCTCAGTTTCTTGAGGTTATCTACAATACATCTACTAAAAATGGAGCAAGGATAAATGAAATTACCGGGAGTAGCAGGCTATTTAGAACTAAATGCAGAGTATAGTTTTATTATAATTAGTTGATAAGCTGCGTCTTCATCTCAAATACCTTCTTAATAGGAAAATTAAATTCAAGCGCAAACTAACGGCAAGAGTCCTTTTGTCAGTTGGACGCATTTCCCTTTGCAACAATGAAATCAAAGCCAGCCTGCTACTTTTAAACAAAGCACTGGAGACATCACAATATACTGGTACCAAATACAGTTTGCACTAATATGAATAATATTAACTATTATGCATTAATATGAACATGCATCAATAAGAGAGCAAAAAAATCTAGGCCAATAGTACTTTGGCCAGAGCAAAGTTACTCCTGTCACCATTTCAGTGCCTGGAAGAGCCTGGAGATACTAACTGGGGAAGTTCAAAGCCTGCACATAAATTAAGGAACAGACGAAAAAAGGGTTGTGCTTTGTTTTTCAAGTGAAAAGAAGTTTAAGGCACTCCCACCTATATATTTGTGTTCCAGAAACTGAGGGAAGCCAAGTTTTGACAACACGTATGTCAAAACGAAGAGGGTATCACACAGTATTAATAAAGCAGCATAAACTTTGCACTCAGATTTTTTTTCTTCAGTTTTAAGTCTCCTGAACACTTAACTTTCTACTCCACTCAGATAATTTTAGCTTCACCTCAAATATGGTTTGCATTTTGGGCTAGTTACTGATTTTGTTTTTCTTTTGCCCCCCATCAGCAGCTCAGTGCATCTGAATGGATCACACTAGCTGATATTCACACTACATAAAGCACTTGCAGAAAAAAAAATCCTGCATATATTGATGTCATAAAACCATGGTGCGGTATTAGATACCAAGATAAGAATGAGTTACAGAAACCTTAGAAAAACTATTCAGACAGGAATGTCTCCAGATTCTGTAGATGAAAAGGAGTTGTCTGATCTACAAAACGTAGCTAGTAATAAACCCACCTTCAGGGGATCTCCAGCTGATCAGCTACGTGTACACAACAGGGGTAATGACATTGTATGAAGGCACTGTATCTTTTTCTGCTATTTAAAAAAACCAAACAACAAACCCACAACAAAACCCAAACCTTCTCAGCAGTTAATGGAAGTCTGCCCCCTTGCAAGAAAAATTCCTGTCAGATACGGCTTCTCAGGACCCACCGTGATGCAGATGCGCGACGGGGAAGCGGGCTGTTGTCGCTGTTAAAAAAGAATGCAGGCAAAGGTCATGTGCAGATTTATGAAAAATAAATTTATTACATAACACCTTGTTCTAACAATGTTTGATTTTTTTTTTTATTCAGAATACTTGTGTCATTCATGTAAAATAGTTTGATACAGTACATTGTATGTAAGTTTTTCCTCATAAATTCTAAGGCTCTCCTAACACCTTGATCCTCTGCTGTAGGAATGGCACCCCTAAACAACGTGCGAACATTAAAAAAAAATTAACTGAACGAAACTTAAAATCCACTACACCAAGCTGGTTCTCAAAAATCATGACAAAAATATCTGAATGGATGCCGCACCTTTTTAGGAAATATCATTCATGCTTTTTTAATCCCAAAGCATGCTCACAAATCATTAACACCAACAGGAAAAAAAATAAAACACTGTCTATGACAATCATTTAGTTTGTTTGCTGAACCAAACATGTTTATATCAATGACAACATACTTATTTTACTATCAAATAGCAGCTTTAATACCAGTCAAGTCATAGATTTAAAAACAAAACTAAAAACTTATGTTGGAAATTAATCTTTGGGACATTTGTAATTGCTGGAAAAAAAATGCCAACGTTTTCACCTTCTTAAAAAAAAAAATCTCGTCGTAGCAATCGTGTCGGTCATAAAACATTGATCTAGGTAGAAAATGAACCAACCCACAAAAGTCACTAAAAATAAACATCTATCAAAATTGTCTCGGAGTCACGGTTAGTTTGCTTTTTTGCCATGGTAACATATACTGTATGCTTCGAGTACCAGTTCAAAGATGCTGTATACTATCGGTCAGATAAAGTTGTTACATCAAGAGAATTCACCACATACGACAACAAAAATGCTTGCCCCTAGCACATTTCACAGCTTCAACCGCTACAGACTGTCACTGAAAAAAATGCATCGGTCAGTCTGAACCATGTCAAGTAAACTATGGAAGTAGCATATCCACAACACAAACTGTGCTAGCACTTTCTGTTCAAGTCTAACCCCAAAAACAGGTACAATTTGGGAGCCACTACTCCGCTCTGTGGAAGGGGGTGGATCGTGGCCGTCGGACAGGTTGGAGGTGTGGTTGTACAGTACATTCTCGTGGCCCAAGCCGGGTTCCAGGCAGGCAGCTGCGTGGCCGGTCCTGCAGCATTAGCAACAGTGCACTGACGTTCGTTAGTGGGATGCAGCTCAGTACCGGTGCGTCTGATGCGAGTACTGTGGCGGCTGCTGGGAGGTAGTTGAATACCCCATGCTGCTCTGTGGCTGTGATGTGCTTGGTCCGGGGTTGGGGTAGGCAGCATGGGGGTTGGAACGCTGCAGAGGGGTAAAAAGCAGAGGAAAGCAATCCTTTGTAACGGGCACGCTGCAAGACAGTCTCGCCTACCAAATTATTTCTTCAAAAGGTACCAAGCGCACACCGTCTCAAAGCAGCTGCACTTCCAGCCTTCTTTTCCACCCACTCTGATTACAGCAGGTGCAGGTATGAGCATCGGGAATACCAGGTTAGGAAGCAACAGTTACCACCCTCCCGTTATCCATCCGAATTACCCCCCGTGAACCTGCACCCACCGCAGCCAAACCTCCAGCCAGCCCTCCAGACGGCTATGGCACACCTGCCCCTCCCACGCAGCTCCCACC